GTGTGTGCACATGCATGGGTGCAAGTAGGCATGGGTGGGTATGCATGTGAGCATATTCATGTGTTTACATGAATGTGCATGTGTGGGCAAGTTCCCATGGGTGTGCAGGTGGGAGTATGTGTGTGCGTGTGTGAGTGTGTGTGTAAGTGTGCTGAATGCTCTCAGTACTAGCCTGTCCAATCTTTCTTCAATCTAGTTCTCACCAGCACTAGACCCCCAGGCATCTAGAAGCCCTGGTAACGTGGTGGGCTATGTGTTGGGCTGCTAACCACAAGGTCAGCAGTTTGAAAGCACCAACCGCTTCTTGGGAGAAAGAGATTTTCTACTCCTGTAAAGATTTACTGCCTCGGAAACCCACAGGGGCAGTTCTACCCTGTCCTATAGGCCTGCTATTGGTTAGATTAGACTCAGCAGTGGGTTTGTTTTTTGAGAACCCCCCATGCAAGGATCCCTGGGGGGGAGAGGTCACCAAGTCACAGGGGGCAGTGACTCACTGTGGGGCCGGTCATCAAGTGGCCTCCTTTGATGCAGTGGTGGCCAGCCTGAAGGCCGGTGGTGGTCTGATCCCACCAACTGCTCTGGAGGGACCCTGATGTGGCAGCCTGCTCTCATAAAGGACACGCCTTGGACATCTAACGGGGCCATTCTCCTCCATCCCATGGGGTCTCTGAGTTGGAACTGGCTTGATGGCCGTGGGTTTCAAAGCCCAAAGGGTGAAGACCACTTTTGTGCCCTTTGCTCTGGGGAGAACATGGAGGCTCAGAAGGGAAAGCTGTTCGCCCAAGGTCGTGAGGCGGGAGTCTGTGGGCCAAGGATGCTTTTCAGACGACGTCCAGGATGGAGACGGGTGGGTGGGGGTGCAGAGTGAGCCTGGGCCTGGTGGGAGGAATTCTGGGGGTGACTGTAGATGAAGTGTTGACAGTGACATGGTTTATCCTTGCAGCTGACCTTGGTCCTGGAGCCCAGTCTAGCACTTTCCCCTTCATGGTTTCGTCTGCTATCTTGGTCACGGGATGCTTGCTATCTTTCCAATAAACTCAACAACTCTCCTCGGGCCCCTGGTCTCGGCCTGGCTCTGAGCTGGGCCCTGGAGACTAACGATAACGTGATGACATCACCTTTAAAACTGTCAGCCCAGCCTGGGGCAGGCATCCAAGCATGGTGGGCTGGAGGCCGCAATCTTAGGGGACTGGGGTGCCAGGCTCTTTGGAGAATGGGAGGTGTAACTTACACTCAGGAAAGTGCAGACCTCCTAAGTGTGCCACACAATGAATTTTAACCTGTGGACACCCCCCTCCCCAGGTCAAGGTGGAGGGCAGCCCCTCACCCCCCAGGCCTCTTTCCATGGGCAACCTCTCTCCTGTGCTCTAGGCTGGTTTTGAACACCCAGGCTACATGTCTTCAAGAAACAGTTGCAGATTCCTAGTTCTGTATCCAGAAGCTCGGACCCCAATCAACCATAGAGCCATGTTAAGAGGATAGCTGGAGACCCCAGGGGTGGTGGGCTGAGCCCCAGGGAGGGCCAGGGGGAGTCCCTGGGCTGGTGATGAGGTGATACAAGATGCCCTTGATAGTCTCATGCTTTGGAGATCAGGTGCCACTTGGGTCAATGGACCACAATCATTACTTCCTCTAGGGACCAAGCCCTATACCATCCCCCACCAATGCGCAACCAGTGGCTGACTGGGCCACGCCCAGGACAGTGTCACTTCCTGGACGGGGGGCCTTTGAGCAAGACGCTTACCGTAGTATTTGGAAATAATGCAACCACATAAATTATTTGCACACACACACAATGTGCACCCTGCACAGACAACAGTCACCAGGCGGTTGCACATGCCTTATTTGTGTAAAGACATCATCTCTCTGTATTTCCAGCTTTTCAACATTAAACAGGGCTGATCAACGCACCTTATAGGGTTAGGAAAACACAACCCCCCCCACCCCCCACCCACCCCCGGCCTGCCCACACACACTGAAAGAAAAACCTACTGCCATTGAGTTGACTCTGGCTCATAGTGACCCTAAAGGCCAGAGATGCCCCCTTTGAATCTCTAAGACTTTTTATCTTTACAGGTAGAGATAGCCTCATGTTTTACCCACAGAGAAACTGGTGGAATCAAACCCCCGACCTTGAGGGTAGCAGCTTCATGCAAATCTCCCTATGCCTCGGGGGCTCCTTTGGGAAACCAGAGTGAGTTAACATGAAGTAAGGAAATATCCAGACTGTGGAGGAGGCCATCTGATCTGGACTAAGTGCCATGCTCAAATGAAGTAGGTCTCAAATGAATCTGGGCTGGTGGAATATGCTAGAATACCCGGGGCTATTCCAGCTGGGGGGCAAGCATTTGGCCAGTGATGGCATAGAACGGGCCGGGGCCGCAGGAGAGGAAGGCGTCCAGCTGGACCACATGGAGGTGAAGTCTTGCTCTCCTTTGCACAAGGAGCCCCCAGGAGGGGCTCTCTAAATGCCAAGTGCTTGACTGATTTCCTGGTGGGCAGGAAAGGGGTCACTTGACTCTCATCCACTTTCATTTTACCTGCCAACCTTGCAGCCCTGGAGATTTGGGCCGTGGAGAAGCGAGTCCCCAGAGCTGCATCAAATACCTCCCTCCAGTCTCCTAGCCTGGACACACAGTCCATCAACCCAAGGTTTCCAGAACAGAAGAACACTGCCCCTCCCACTCAGCCTCCATTCCCCTGTAAGGCAAGTGCCATAGACTTCGCCAGCTCAACCCCCAGGGGGGCTGGGAGCTGAACTCCGGCCTAGGGCGAGATCCCTGATCATGCAGACCAGGCCAAGGACACAGGGGACATCCCTGGGGGACTTGTGGGTCTGAGTTCAAGTCCTGACTCCAGTAAAATTCACTATGTGGAGGCTGGCTGGGTCACAGGCACTTCCTGAGCCTCGTTTCCTTCTCTGCAAAACAGGTACCACCACAGCCATCTGATAGTAATGAGAACCAAACGAGGCAGAACAGTCTGATGAGGGGAAGCCAGACTCTCTGGGATCAAACCCTGGCTCTGCTCTGGGGCCCTAGGGAAAGGACCTCACTTCGCTATGCCTCGGGTTTTTCATCTGTAAAATAGGTCTAATGAGCTCCTCCGTCACCAGGTGGCTGGGAGGACTACGCACGTTACTTACCACAGCAGGCATGAACGATTGATTGCAGGTTGTCCCCAGGTCATGCTGGGCTTCCGGTCTGATGGCTCCATCCTAAGTGACTTCTGATATGTCAGGCCCCTGTCCCGTTTTCACGATCAGTCCTTATAAATATGAACGCTTGTCTCTGGAGGAGCCCTGGTGGGGTGGAGGACTGCGAATTGAACTGCTAAGCACGAGGTGAGTGGTTCAAACCCACCAGTCACTCCACAGGAGAAAGAGGCGGCTGTCTACGGCTGTCTACTCCCGTATAAGACGGAGGGCCGGGGAAACCCATAGTGGCCTTTCTTCTGTCGTCGTGGGTCACTCTGAGTTGGAATGGGCTCGATGGCAGAGCGGTTTTGCCTCTGGGGGTTGGCATGAGAATGACGCCAGCCAAGTCCATGCTGCAACACTGTATCTAGTCCCTGTGACCGACGCTCACGAGTGCGGGTCGTTGTAACTCGAATACGCCGTAGGTGGAGGACTGCCTGCTAGCTGGGCACACAGTGCCCACTGCACAGCATATCCATTACTAACTCAGTGGTTAGGAGCTGGGCACCCAATTCAGACAGCTGCAGTCTGAGTGTCAGCAGCATCACCCATTAGCCGTGTGACCCTGGGTAAGGGCCACCTCCTCTCTCTGCAACGCCCTGTCTAGAAAATGGGGCCAAGCCATTACCTACCTTGTTGGGCATGCGAAGCATGGGCCCACAGAAAGCACTGCGGTTCGTTTATGATCATGAACATTCTAGTGGAGGGAGGGTAAGGCAGAGATTACTTATTTGAGCACCTACCTTGAGCATTCCAACTCAGAGTGACCCACGACGACAGAAGAACAGCCACTTTGGGTCTCCCCGAGCCACAGGAATCCCCTTACCAGGACGTCAGAGGGCACGCCATCGCTTGCTGCGTTCCAGAGGAGGAAAGCGGGCTTGAGCGGCAGCTGGCCACCGAGAGCCCACAGGGGCAAGGGGTGAGCAGCTGTCGGGAGACTGGCCAACATTCCACAATGGCTGCACTTCAGCTAAGTGCCTGTTCCCAGTGTGTCCCTCAGCTCCCCTGGAGGACAGTGGTTTCAGGAACCCACCTCTCTCAAAGTTAGCCGGTATCTGACCCCCTCTATGGGTCCCTGCCGGCAGGGCTGCCGTCCCAGGCTGTAAACTCCCCGGCGCAAATAAACTGGTCTCTCTCAGATCGGCTCTGGCTCCGGTTTTTAGGCGCTTGGCCTTTAAGTATAGGGAAGCCCCTTCTCTCCCGGGCTTGAGCCCAGACAGCAGCTCAGCGGGGGCCATGTTTTGGGCAGGCGAGGAAGGATAGACGCTTGGTGCCTAGCAGGCTCTCGCTAAGGACAGCAGAGCCTGATGCTTCCTTCCATCTCCACAGCCACCCTACTGAAACCAGTTCCGGCTCCAAGCAACCCAATACAGCACAAGGAAGCAGCCAGCTCCATCGTTATCCCAGGGGGGCGGCTGGTGTCCTCGAACCACCGACCCCACCACCCAATGCTAAACCCACGACACCATCAGTGTCCCTCCAGGGGTCTATTCTTACTCCTGAGTTTTGGGAAAGGAGCTGCTCCCTTCTTAAGGCTGCAGAGTGGTGGAGCCAGGTGCAAGGCTTGCTGTCTGTCCACATTCTGCTGAAGCAAGTATTTGGGCGACAGCCAAACATGGATTCCCACTGAGCCAGGGACACAAAAGCCTTTTTCTATAGCGAGAGGACCCAAACCCCAAGTGGGAAGCGGTCGGTTTCAAGTCCCGGGGACAAGTGGATTCTCTCTCCCACGCCCTGGGGAACAGCCCTCCAGGGGGACCCCGGAATCCACTCAGACAAAGACACGCAACACTCCGTGGGATCATTGTTACCCAGAAATCTTTATTACAAAAATATTTTGCAAGCCAAAAAGTTTAAGTTGCAACTATATACAAAACGGGGCCTGTTTCCTTCCCAGAGGTCTTAAAATAAACTCCCGAAACCTCGCTCCTTCCGCAGCGCTCTCTCAACAGACTCTTCCTCTTCCTGGGGTTCCATACACGAGGCGTGGGGGCACCTCCAGGCTGCAGGGCCGAAGGGAGCTAAAGCTATACGTCTTCCCTGGCCTCACCCCACCCTACCCCTGACTCCCTGCTCCCAAGATGAAAATAAAGTCAAAGAAAAATGGCACCATGGAAACATTCTTTTAAAATTCTGTGCATCACACATGTGTCTATGTGCTCCATGTGTGTGCGTGTAGGTGGAAGTGTGTGTGGGTATGGGAGGGGCCTTCCAAAAACGGGGATGGAATTTCCCGTGAGCTTTCCGAAGCCCCCTCATGTGTGTTTGCTTCTATCAGGAGGTGTGCATTTAAGTGCGTGTGTATGTATGTGTGTATGTGTGTGTGTGTGTGTGTGCATGCACATGTGCTCTCTCTGGGTAGAAGAGAAGGATACCACAGTTGACAAGCCAACCCTTTGGAATTGGCAATGCCAGGAGCCAGGTGGCTGGGCAACTCGGGCTCCCGGATGCCACGGAGGCGCTCTGGCTTGTCAGGTCTGGGCAGATGGCACGTTGGCTCAGTTAACTCCTGGATGCCATCATGGGAAACACCAAGCCACCACCATCCTCCAGAGAGCAGGCTCTGCGCTGATCTCAAATCTCACCTGTAGGACCTGCCAGATCGCCCACCCTTCTGCTCTGACAGCCTGGGTGGGCCAGAAACCCTGTGAGCCCCCTCTGACCAATGCAGGGGCTGGGAGTGTTAGAACCGGTTATGGTGAAGACCAAATGGACAGGGCTGGCCGGCCCTCATACCTTCAGGAGCAGGCAGCTCCGCAGAATGGAAGGAGGCACTGCTTGGGTCAAAGCTCTGGAGATGGAGGGGCAAATGCCCAGGACCCCCCACCCACCATGGCCTCAGTCTATTCCAGCATGATCCCGAGAGGCTCTGAGAACAGAAATGGAAGCTTCTACCCTTCAGGGGTCTGCTCTGAGAGCTGAGATGGGAAAGACTGCGAAGGACGTGGGCCACACCACCAGGCTCAGCTTCTCCCTACCCGGCAGACAGACTCCTAAAGTGCTTGTGAGAGAGATGCTGGGGAGGGAGGTCATCTCTCCTCTCCCCATTCTAAAGAGGAGCAGGCCAAGGCCTAAGGTCTTGACAAGACTGTACCACCCAGGAGAAGCACGGTTGACCGGGACTTACCACAGCGGGGTTGGGGGAGGCAGCAGTACCAGCCCTGTGGCTCCATGGACAGAGGAGACGGCCCAAGTCAGCCCAGGATAGGAGGCTCTGTGGCTCCACAGAGCCCTTCTGCCCCACCCTCAGGGCTCGGGGACCTGGCGGCCTTCCGTGTCTGCTGTAAGAAAACCCTTTCAGGACAACAAACCGTCAAACCTCAGACGTCACGAGACCCACCCATGTACTGCAACACACGACACAGAGCCAAGAGCACGCCGCCGGCCTCCACGTCGTCGTCTCAAGGAGAGAAAACAAAACACCACGGATCAAAATTTTTCTAACACCTCAGTTTCAAGATTGCACGTTTCACATTTCTCAGTAATTTACAGGCGTCCGCAGCGAGATGTTGCGAGTGAGGACTGGCTGGGGAGGGCAAGCTGGGCGGGAGGAGACGAGGGTCCACGCGGAGGCCAGTCATGGCGACGGGGCTGGGGAGCGTCGGAGGGACAAGACGAGGAGGAGGAGGAGGAGGAGGGGGGCTTCTCGTGGTCCTGCGAAGGGCGTCCCCACCTCCCTCTGGGCATGCAGCTCATCAGTCAGCCCAGGAATGGGGGAGGCCAATACTGGCAAGCCACCTCACCGAGGCTCAGGGCTACAAGTCCCAGAGTCCCTGTCCTGTCCAGCTTTGCCATGGACGGAGTAGTTGGGTCTAAAGGGAAACCTTTGCCCCAAGGCCCCGCTGGGTGGCAGTGGGGTGGGGGTGGGGGAGGAGAGTAGGTAGAAAATCTTTCCCCTCCTCACCCTGGCAGATCAGGCTGTGGAGCATCAAGGAGAGGCAGGCACGGGTCTGTAAGACCCTGACCAAGACGCAGGCATTGGTGGAGCAGGTGTGAAAGCTCGGGGGGTGGGCCCCCAGCTGCTGCGGTCAGTGCTCGGGCTGGCTCCTCGGTTAGTGTGGTAACATCAGCCTCCAAGCATGGGAATGCCAGGGGTGTGGTGGCCCTGGAAGTGCTGGAGAGCCGAGGGGGGTGGGCAGACAAGAGCTACCCTCGCCCCTGGGTCCCAGGGCCCGGCCCTTCGGGGACTGGCTTGCTGTCCTCACCATGGTGGCCCCATGGGGGACAGGAAAGCTAGTGGGGGAGCCGCCCTCATATGGCCGGAGTCTCGCTCACTTCCTCTGGATCTGGACGCTGGCATACTCGGAGAAGGAGGGCTCGGGCTTGGGGGCGGGCGGCTTGGGGGCCCGGTTGAGGTGGACCATGTCCAGGTCGGCATAGGTGAGGGTGTCCTCGGGCCCGGGCGGCGGGCTGGTCTGGATGCTGGCGTACTCGGTGTGGTTGTTGGGCTCGGCAGCCCGGGGAGCAGGTTTCTTCCCCTTGGGCAGGTTCAGGTCCGCGTAGGTGATGTCATTGTTGTCCTGGATCTAAAGGAGACAGGGAGTGTCATCGTGGGGCCTCCCACCCTCTCGGCCACCACTCGGGTTCCAGGTCCTGAGGCTCAGTCTCCTCCTGGCCTAGCCCTGACTCGGGCACCCTTTACCTGGGCTAAGGTTACCCAGGTACCAGCAATCCAATGGACATCTCCAATGGCCGCTCAAGCACCCCTTCTGGCAAGACCCTCCCTTACTCTTGCCTCCCCCCTGCTAAGTCCAGGGTCCCTGCACTGTGCTCCCTCAGTCCCCATCCCTCCATCATGGCAGCCACCACCCAGGACTATGAGGGTCTGTTTGGGGACTTGAGCAGATGCTGATCCCCCAGGGGCTGGGGACAGCCTTTCTTCACTCCTTTTTCTCAACAACCGTTCACTGGGCATCTAGGATGGGGCAGAAAAACCCAAGACTGCCCAGGAGAAGCCTGGTCAATGCAGAACGGCTGACTGAATGGCAGCAAGGTCAGCAGGAAGACTCCGGTGGCCTTCCTCAGGGAACCGAGGTTGGGCCGTGTCAGAGGGTGACCATCAGTTGCAGGGGATAAAGGCGGTACAATGTAATAAAGGAGAGAAGATGGCAAGGCCTGGTCTCTTGATAATGTATGTGTCGCCCAGAGGGGATCCAAAACCCCACACAAACTCACTACCATCGAGTTGATGCTGACTCATAGCAACCCAGGACAGGGAAGAACGGCCCCTGTGGGTTTCCCAGACGGTAGCTCTTTGGGGGCGTAGCAAGCCCCATCTTTCTCCCATGAAGCGCCTCGTGGTTTCCAACTGCTGGCTTTGCAGTTAGCAGCCCAATGCATAACCAGGACACCACCAGAGCTCCGGATCAGGAAGGACTAGTCCCTGGCAAATAATGCCATGCTTAGTAGAAGGCCAATGAACAAGAAGGCCCTCAATGAGACGGATGGACACGGTGGCTTCAACGAGCTCCGACACAGCAGTGAGGGCGTCGCAGGACCAGTCAGAGTTTCATGCTCACCTGCACTCAGGGTCACAATGAGTCAGGGCCGACTTGACGGCACCTCACAATAACCCCAGGCGCTGCAGTCAGGTGACCTAGTTTGAAGCCTCCGTCTGCCCTCTGGAGCCGAGGGATTGGGAAGTTCACTGCACATCTTTGAGCCTCCCACCTGGAGAGTGGGGTCAGTGACTGGATCTATCCTTGGGCTGTTGTGAAGAGGGGCGAGACCTTCAGCTACAGGGCTGAGAGCAGGCCTGGCACATGTCACAGCTCCAGAACTGCTAGAGACCCTCGACTCCTTGGCAACCTCACCGCCCACAACGTCTGCCTGACAATGACCCGTCCTGAGTTAGAAGCGGTGTGGAGCGGAAGGACCGACCCCCAGCACGACTCAGGTGGGGCACACAGTGAGGAGTAAGGCAGCTTGGTCACCAGGGGCTGATGAACAGCCCCCC